GTGGCAAAGCACGACAAGACGGCCCGTCAGATCAGGTGAACCATAGCCTCAGCGTTATGGCCTTAGGTTGAGAGGGTAGAGAGTTTTCCCTAGTTAGAGGATCACGATCCTGAGAGTATCCCTAGTTAGGCACCTCCTCTCCTCCCTTGTACTTTAATTCTCCACGGTTTATGCGTAGGGAGAGTTGCGGGGCTGAACCTGAAAAGGGAATTCCTCCGAGTCGTAGTCAGGGGTATTTCTCTCTAGAGGGGGAGGCCTAAGCCCGAGGGGGCTGACCGCCGGTATGCCTGGTAGTATGCGCCTGCTATGCGGGTTTTATGCGGGTGGTATGCGGGTGGTATGCGGGTTTTATGCGGGTGGTATGCGGGTGGTATGCGGGTCACGGTGGTATGCGCCGCCGCCTGCTATGCCGGTGGTATGCGTGGCCCGGCAAGGCCCTCGTCGATCGGCGGTTGCTCCGCGCTCACTCAAGGACTATTTCCTTACTCTTCCTCAATTTACCCTCAAGTTCTAGATACCTCAACCTACCCTCAAGGTCTACCTTCCTCCTTACAGGACCATAGGCTCAGCCTACTGGGCCTACTGCCACCCTCAACCACTCGACTCGCGCATTTTAGCAGCTGAGTCCCTCGAGTAAACCTCGAGTGTGGTCGAGTGTTCTTTCCACCGTTTATGGTAAAAGAACAACAAGTCGAGCAGGACTGACATTTCAATTGATAGGCGGACCCCTCAGACCAGAGAAAAACATTACGTATTTCTACCGTTAACCGAAATCGAAGTAGCCCAGACTCGGGGTGCGAGTGTTATAGGATACGGGGGATACCGCCGGGGGTATCTCTGTGACCTTCCCCACTGAGGAGGCTCTCCTCCTTTCTCTTTCCTTTCCTATCCCAAAGTACTGAGATCCTCCCTCCCTGGCGCTAACGCCAGTAGGTCAGTCCACGTAACTCTCGCAGCTGCCCCTGCGAGGCCCAGTCTTACTCTGTAACACAGGTTCTTTTACAGCCAGATCTTCTGGATATGCCGGACTGAAGCCATTGCGCATCATAAAGGGGCTAATAGTCGTTCCGGGGATCATGATACACACTGGCATTTTGTTGTAACTGAATACAATGTACGGTAGGACTTCGTCCCAATTATCGTGGATCGCGCTGCTTTCTATCCTCGATCGCTGGAGTTAAGTGCGTAAGAAAGAAAAGGAGAAAAAAAAAGTTCCGACTCGACGTATGATATACACTAGTGGTATATGCGTTGGGCAATTATAATCACTACGGCTCATTTCCTATATATATAAGAAAGATACAGATAAGATACCTACAACGACGCTACCAACCGACGATGGCGGGCCGGAAGGTGGCCATCTCCAACTGCGCGCGGGCGCTGAACGACAATGAGATCTACATCATCCA